GCGACGGGCTGGGAGCTGGACTGACTACGTGCGGCGACGGGCTGGGAGCTGGACTGACTACGTGCAGAGTGAAGGTATCGCACCACTCGAAGTTGGTGATGTACTGGTAGTTGGACTGGCTGCAGATGTCGATGATTTTGGTGAGGAGCTCGTCTCGGTAGGTGGTGCCCTCAGCCTTGTCCACGTGGGTCATCAGTTTCTTCACAATCTCCATCAGGTTCTTCTTGGATACCTGTGGGGTGAGGCTGTGTGAGTAAGCAGAGCTGGGACACACACTGGGGTTGGAGTCGAGGCAGACGGAGCCGAGCTGCGGACCTGCAGGGTCTCGGAGCGCCCGAGCCGACTCCCCGAGGCAGATTCATGGGACACAGAGCAGGATTTACGGAGCGATGGGAACCAGCGCATCGCTGCAGCAGTCAGTCAGAAAGCCCAGACAGGCAGACGGCACATCAGTGCCTCTCTGCTCCAGGAACCTGGACCCAGGCCCAGACCCACCCGGGCTGGCCGGACTGTCAGCCGCTGGCCTGGGGGCACACACCGACCGCAGCACAGAGCGGGAAGGGGGCAGGACACACCATGCCGTAGAGCAGGTCGAGGGCGCGAAGGCGGATGGACTCGTCCTTGTCGTCCAGGCACTGCAGGATGAGGTCTTTGTGTGACTGCACGGACTTGGGGTGGGTCTTCAGGATCTTGGACATGGCCAGTAGGCCCAGGTACTTCACTGTGGGGAGACGGACAAGGCTGCCTGGTGCCCAGCCTGGTGTCCACTGTGACCTTGACAAGGCTGAAGGCCTTGTCTAGGGCCTCCCTCCAGCACCCCCACCTGGCTCTCAGGACAGGCTCTACGCAGGTGAGGAGGGCTCTTAGCCCATGGACTTGAGGCACATACCCTGGGCCCAGGGGCACCAAGGGCCTTGAGAGGAATGCTGGGAGAATGGGGTCCGGGGGAGAGGACTGCATGACCGAAAACCTCCCAAGCCAGGGGCCCTGGGTGGTGTCCTGAGCGGTGTCCTCCGCAGCTGTCACCCAGGGCAATGGGCCACATGCATGCGGCATGAGCACGTCTTCCCCCCGGCCCAGTAAGGAATGCCATCAGGAGAGACGCAGACCCCACAGGCACTGTGGGCCGCTCAGGCGTCTTCTCTAGGCTGAGTCCGTGTGTCCCCTCCGCTGCCAGCCCAAGCCAGCTCATATAGGACAGAGGGCAGTGGAAGATGAGAGACCAAGTGCCCACTGAGTCCAGGGCGACAGAACCACAGCACAGCGCCCAGCCCAGCATGCAGCCAGGTTTCAGAACCCAAGCTCTCCTGGGCAGCCTGGCCTGGGAAGGGCTGAGCATGTGGCACAGATTCAGCTCTCCGACGGGTGGGCAAACTCCACTCCCCTCAGTGGGCCAAGGCCTGCACCAGCTTCGGGCCGCCCTGCCGCGGGGCTGCTCGTTCTGGGGCTGTAACGACATGGAACGAGGCTGCCCAGCCCCCTCCCATGGAATCACTGGGGGATTTGACCCGCCAGAGGCATAAAGCTGCACGGGTCCAACACAGCTCCTTAGGGAGTGCACTACTCTAGTCCTCGGACCAAATCCCACCGCAGGACATGGCCATCTGTGCAGCGGTCAGCCTGTTCCCTGGAGGGGTGAGAAACCATCAGGGCTCCACTGCCCGGACAGGAAACGGTGGTCAGCCTGCTCCACATGCAGAGATCTGTGCTGTGTGACCTCGACATGTCCATACGGGAGCAAGGAAGGTTTCCCTGAGCAAGAATCCCTTCAACAGAGGTCAGAACTGGGGCCCGGGGAGCATCCTTGAATGCTGGCTGGCTGTGGGCGTGGGGATCGTCCGGGCTGACTGCCAGGTAACCTCGGGTGTGGTGGGTCACTGTGGGTGTGGACAGCAATTTCCCCCTAACTTTCTCTTTATATTGAAAAGGCCATGATTGCGAAGAGACCTGGGACTCAAGAGCCAGAGAACCTGGGATGGGGGCAGAGGGCTTACAGTTCTGGTCGGAATCTTCTATCAATATCCTCAACTTCTGGACACAAAGCTGAAAAAGAAGGCAGAGGAGAGCACTAGGCCTGAGCTGACTAGTCTGAGGTCACCCTGCCCCAGGCGACCTGACCGCCCTTCAGCCTGGGAGGAAGGACATGGGGTGCTGTGTGCAGTACGGGCTCAGGAACAGCTATGTGGCTATGGGCGAGCTGCCCTCTACACCTGGGACAAGAATGTAAACTTAGAGACAAAGGGCAGGTAGGATGGTCACGTCCATCCATCAGGCTAGTGATGGGGCAGCAGGGGAGGAAACACTAGGCAGGGGGCAGGCAGGCAGGGAGGGCCCTGCAGATGCTCATGGCCTGGTGGGGGTCTCATACCTGGATGCTGGCGCTGTGGTTGGGCATGCCAGAGGACAGGGAGATGAGGACTGAAACAGACAAGGTCAGGTTAGAGCCACTGCTCCCACCACTAGGAGGAACCAATCACGGACATTCCCTCGGTCAGTAAGAGGGAGGAGAGACTGAACTGCCGCCGAGCCAGAGGTGGTGCAGTTAAGGCTGGACTCTGAGGCAAACAGCTGGCAGTTCAAATCCACCCAAGAACACCCTTTGGGGCCCAGTACTACTGCAATGGACACGCGGTCAGTGTAAGAGTCTCAGTGACATCACTGCTCCTCAGAACATGGAGAGGGCCCTGACTTTCCCAGCGCGGCACGGCTCCTGATGTCGATGGTGGGTCCAATCTCTCCATCTATCATGACGTTGCCCGTCAGTCCACTGGGGAAAACTGTTGTTTTCCTGATGTTCAGATTTCATCTAAAATGGAGAAGGCTGTGGTCGTTGATCTTTTGCAGCAAGTGTTTCAAGTCTGCCTCGCTTTCAGCCGCCAGGGCTGTGTCATCTGTGTAACACAGGTTATTGGTGAGTCTTCCTCCAATCCTGGTGCCACCTCTCGAACGCTCTGCCAGCAGGCAGACGGAAGAGGTGTGGAAAGAGAACACAAGCCTGACACATGCGTCTTCATTTTAAACCACGCTGTGCTTCCCTGCTCTGTAGACAACAGCTTCTTGGGGTAGGTGTGCAGGCCTCACAGGAGGACGCTGAAGTGTTGGGAGATGCCCATTCTGCTAATGTCAGTCTTAATCTGTAAAGATCCACACAGATGCCTTCGCACAGTCAATAAAGCTCAGACGTTCGTCCAGTACTCTCTTTTCGGTGGCGTCCAGCTGGCATTAGCAATGATACCAGTGGTGTCATGGCCTCTTCTGGCAGTTCTCTGTCAACATCTTTTTCTAGTCAACCAAGCAGCTTTTGGAGAACAAGGAAGCACTTCATGGCTTAAAGTCCAGAAAGGTGTGCATCAGAGTTAAATCCTTTCGCTTTATCTATTCCATCTGCACGCTGAGGAAATCATTCAAGAAGTTAGACTCTATGAAAAAGAATGTGGCATCAGGATTGGAGGAAGACTTAACAACCTGCACTATGCAAATGACACAACTTTTGCTTGAAACTTACGGGAAAAGATCATAAACGACAACCTTTTATGTGGATTACATCTTAACATCAAGAAGACAAAAAGAGAAGCTTAAAGCATGTGTCATAAGAGAAACAAACTCAAACTTGAGGTTGTGGAGCTGGAACTGGCTCCCAGCCCACCCTCGGTGCGTTGTCAGAGGCTGTAAACTACACAAGAGGTGAGTGTCTACGTTTTTCCCATGAAGAAGCTAGCGGATTAGAACCACCTGCCTTTGTGTTCACAGTACAATGCCTTACACACTAGGTCACCAGAACTCCGTGTCAAAAGAATCTCACCTCAGAAAAGCAAAGGTACAGTCAAACAATGGAATATTACATAGTATTCAAAACCAAAGACCCATAAAACAGTACGCAACGAGGGGGAGCCTAGGACAGTATGCTGCGTGAAATAGCTCAGTAACAAAAGGACAAATGCTGCCTAACACCGCTGCTATATAACAGGACGGACCTGAGGGGCTGGGGGTTGGCGAGAGAATGGGAAAGAGTGGACAGATGAGCACTGCACTGGAACGGATGAGCAGGGAACTGTCCCAAAGAACGTATGATTAGGCATTGTAAGTATGACAGCACACTCCAGTAGGGATGTACTGCAGGGTGGGCTGGGGAAGACGACATTTAACAATGTTTCTAATGTTATTAATGTTTCTAATGTGCACACACAGACACACACAGAGGTAAAAATTGGTGGTTATTATGTGCCATCAAGTCACCTGCCACTCATAGCAACCCTATGTACCAGTCTCACTGACTCGGACACACCTGCCGTACCAATCCACCTCATTCAGGCTCTCCGTCTCCCTGCTGTCCTTCCACCCTTCCAAGCATGATGTCCTTGTCCAAGGACCCGTCGTTCATGGCCATGGGCCCAAAGTTTGTGAGATGGACCTTAAGAATCCTAGCCTCCAGGGAGCTCTGGTGGCCTAGTGGCAAGACGCTGCACTGCAGTCCCAGAGGTACGTGGTTCAAATCTACCAGTTGCTCTGCTGGAGAAGAAGGGGGCAATCTCCTCCTGTACCAGTCAGATCTGATTTGATGGTACACACACACACACACACACACAAACAAAAAAAAATCAAAAACAACAAGAACAAACAAGGAGAAACTCGCCCAAGACAGCCCAACACAGCCCCACGGGGGCCCACGGATTAGGGTTAGGGTTAGGGTTATGTTCAGAACTCTTCTCCAGAATCACAAATAGAAGGTATCAATTCTTCTGTCATCCTTAGTCAACGTTCAGTTCTCTGATACGGAGCCAATAATTGTGATCCATGGACTGGATCAGGAGGACGTCAGTCTCTACACTGAGAACGTTGTTCTTCAGCACTCTGGAGACGTCTCTGACCGCAGACTTTCCCAGAGCACTTGTCTTGATTTCCTGACTGCTGGTGCCAAAAGTGAATTCAAGAAAGTTGAAATGGTTAATAATCTCAAACTCTTCTCCATCTATCATGATGCTGCCAATTGGCCCAGTGGTGAGAATCTCTGTCCTCTTGATGTTGAGCTTCAATCCATGTTGAAGACTGCAGTCCTTGACCCTCTGCAGCAAGCGCTTCAGGTCCTCCTCAGTTTCAGAAATGGAGGAGGTTATTGGTACCGGTTATTTAAAAAAAAAAAAAAAGGGAGAGAGAGAATATCGTACCCAAAACCTGAGCAGGAAAAGCTGACACTCACAAAGCCTTTTCCCTAGCGCTATGGGAACAAGTTGTCAGCCAGCTTAGTTGCTTAGGTGCTCCCTAAGGTGAGAGCCACCCGCAGTGCATGTGACAGCAGCCAAGTCACTGTGCTCAAGCTGCCCAGGTCAGCGAGGGGAGGGGGAGGCTGCACCCTCCGCTGTGCAGGTCCCTGACCTCCAGGGCCTCCTATGAACTCCAGCCCTGTCTTCACCTCCACCCACCTGTACTAACATCCTCAGGACACCGTCAATCCTGCAAAGGTCTGCAGCTGACTATGGGTAAGGAGTGTCCACAGGCCTTCAGTAAGCTCAGGGCTGGGGTGGTGGGTGTGGATGGAGGACAGAAAGGCCTGCTCTGAGTGCCACTCAGAATACCGTGTGAGCGCGCAGGGGACGGGAGAACCCGGAGCAGGCCAATCGAACAGCGGGACACCACGAGCACTTCACCCTGATGCTGGGTTCAGCACTCCCCACACTCGCCATGGCCCCCAGGCTGCTGCCCCCAGGCCGCCTCCCAGCCTGCTGCCCTCAGCCTGCTGCCCCCTGATGTCCTCAGCCAGGTGTCCTCAGCCTGCTGCCCCTGGTGCACTGAGCCTGTTGCCCCTCAGCCTGCTGCCCCCTGATGCTCTCAGCCGGCTGCCCTTAAGCCTGCTGTCCCCAGCCGGTTGCACTCAGCCTCCTGCCCCCAGCCTGCTGCCCCCTGATGCACTCAGCCTGCTGTCCCAGCCTCCTGCCCTCAGCGCTCCCACCGGCACCACCCTAAGAGATGACCCGAGTTCTTACCTGCAATCACCGTGTTCACACACTCATAGAGCAGAGACATGGCAGACGTGCTAGTGAAGAAGACAGAAGTGAGGACTGAGACCTTCACCAGGTGTCTGCGTGCAGCCCATGTCCCCTTGTCCTCGAGTGTGAGGACAGGACCAAGACCTTCACCAGGTCTCTGCGTGCAGCCCAGGTCCCCATGTCCCCACATATGACGACTGAAGCTTTCACTGGGTCAGCCTTTGACACGGGTTCTCCCCATCACACAAGGACCCCACACCCTCCACTGTGGTCCCACCTGCAAGTGGAGAATGTGTGTCCTAACACTTGGGGGTTATGAGGGCTCTGTGACTTGGGTGCCCCTCCCTAGCCCTGAGATGAAGGGTATGTCGGGAGCCCACCTCATCCCGGGGGGCCACTGGCACCGCAGGAACAGGCCCGCAGCAGCCCTGGGAGTTGCAGAAGGCTATGCTTTCCTGTTCCTGCTGCCCACAATGCCTACATTCTGAACGCCCCAAAGGGCTCAGGCTCCAGAGGGTGGACGCTGGCCTCCAACAAGACACCAACGGCCAGCATTAAGATGGCTACCCACTTCTCCATGGTCTGGCCCCCCACTGCTCCCCTACTCTGCACCAAGGGGTGCTCCATGCTGCACCGGGCAGGAGCGCTCACCTGTGGATCAGGTTGGTGAGGGGCTCAATCAGCTTCTTGCCCAGCCGTGGTTCTAATGGAGTGAGAGCACCAAACTGCAGGATGACAGCACGTCATGTCAGCCGGCAGCAGGGGCCCTGAGAGCTCAGCCAACTCAGCAAGCCTCCCACGGACCCACGAGCGCAAGACCCACATCCCCATCCACCGATGTGAAGAAACAGCATGGTCCTTCCACACATAGGAACACGCAGCACTGAGCCAGAGAAAAACACAATTCTGGACCTGCTAATGTGGCTCCATCACAGGGCCGTGCGTGAGGTAATGTGATGCGCGTGGCTATGCGTGATGTGGTATCGGTGGCTGTCATGTGATGTGTGGCTGTGCGAGACATGATGCGTTGCCTGTGTGTGACGTGATGCGTTGGCTGTGCGTGACGTGATGTGGGGCTGTGCGTGACGTGATGCGGGGCTATGTGACACGATGCGTTGGCTGTGCATGACGTGATGAGCGGGGCTGTGTGACGTGATGCGTTGGCTGTGTGTGATGTGATGCGCGGGGGTGTGCATGACATGTGTTGGCTGTGTGTTGACGTAACATGGGGCTGTGCGTGACGTGATGCATTGGCTGTACGTGACGTGATGTGCAGGGCTATGTGACATGATGTGCAGGGCTGTGTGTCGTGATACATTTGGGACGTGATGCATTGGCTGTGTGCAATGTGATGTGAGGGGCTGTGTGACGTGATGCGGGGCTGTGCATGACGTGATGAGCGGGGCTGTGTGACGTGATGCGTTGGCTGTGTGTGATGTGATGCGCGGGGCTGTGCATGACATGTGTTGGCTGTGTGTTGACGTAACGTGGGGCTGTGCGTGACGTGATGTGCAGGGCTGTGTCGTGATACATTTGGGACGTGATGCGCGGGGCTGTGTGTGACAGGATGCGTGTTGGATGTCATGCGCATGGAGCCGTACCCCTCGCTGGCTAAGCATGGACAGTAATGAAACAAGGACAGGTCACTGGGGAAGGGGTACTTGCCAGTTTGATGATTTTGATGAGGACCCAGTTGTTGGTTGACGAGGTCATGAGCTTAAAGAAGAGCGGGGCGAGGGACAGGTAGTTTTTGGGGTTGCGCCTGGCAAGCTCACAGATGACGTTGACGGCTGCTGACTGGACACCTGTGGAGCAGGACACGTCCCTGTTAGTAGCGTCTGCACCCTGACTGTCCTGTTTAAATACCCTTTCCATCTAGAGAATCCAGCGCCACCCCACTAAGGTATCTGAGGGTTCTAGGACACCAGACCAGCATGTTCTGGGGTCCAAGGTCCCCCCTCATGGAGTCACAGAGATTTAGTATCATTCCATCATGTCCTTAAGACCTGGGGTCCCACTATCATCAAATCACAGCCCTTGGTTCCCAACATCAAGTCCAAGGTCTGCAGGTCCCCCCACCTTGTCCATGAGATCTGGGGTCTCGCCAGCACATTTGAGAGAGAAGCTGAAGCAGAGACAGAAGCTCAGCACAGGGGGAGTAGGAAGGGCAAGCAGGAAGGGAGGGACTCAGAAAACAGCCAGGTGTCACACAGGTAGACCCACCTGAAGGGAACCTGTCACTGGTTTAACTGTGTCCCTTAAAATTACTCACAAGAGTCCAGAATGAAGGTTGCATAGTGGAGTGCACTCAGGGCGGGGTGTGTGTGTGTGTGTATGGGGGATTGTATACCAATGGAGTATTTCTTTTGCTTTTTGAAGAGAGGGGTGAACTTGGGGGGGGGGTGCTGGGAGAAAAACACAACAATGAATGAATGGAAATTCAAAATCTCTGTAAATGTTCATTAAAATGAATAAAGTAAAATTAAAAAAATAAAAAGAGTAAAAAAAAAATTACTAGCTGAATCTTACCCGCAGTACCTGTGCAGATGACCTACTTGAGAAAGTCTCTGAGACAGGGTCTGTTCACAGGTGCTCACAGGGAACTAGGGGAGACCTGACTGTATGACTGACATGCCCTCACAATCACAGGGGGACAAAGACAGCAGGCCACCTAAGGACAGTGGCAGAGAATGAAGTGGCCTCAAACCTGGAAGAGGTAAGGAAGGCCCCACTTCAAGAGCCTTAGCAGAATGCAGTAGCCTGCACCGTGAGTGTGGGCGTGTGACCCCCGGGCTGGGACAGTGCACCCCGAGTGTGGACGTGTGACCCCCAGGCTGGGACTATGCACCCTGAGTGTGGGCGTGTGACCCCCGGGATGGGACAGTGCACCCCGAGTGTAGACATGTGACCCCCCCGGGCTGGGACAGTGCACCCTGAGTGTGAACATGTGACCCCCGGGCTGGGACAGTGCACCCTGAGTGTGGACATGTGACCCCCGGGCTGGGACGATGCACCCTGAGTGTGGGCATGTGACCCCCGGGCTGGGACGATGCACCCTGAGTGTGGGCGTGTGACCCCCGGGCTGGGACAGTGCACTCTGATTTTGGATGTATGAACCCCTGGCTGGCAGCAGCCCGCATCCTGAATATAGGTGAGTGGCCCCAAGATGGGACAGTGCACCCCATTTCTGGGACTGAACTGCAGCAGCTTAGGACATGAAGACAGCTCAACAGTCAAATCTGAGACAACTCCCACAAAAAGTCCATCATAACAAACTCAAGCTCAAGTTCATTCCCACTAAGTCAACAGTGACTCCCTGCTGACCTCTAGCAGGTCTCCAAGGCTGTAAATCACACAGGAAGAGGATGCCCATCTTTCTCCCTCAAAGGGACTGGTGGATGTGAACCACCAGAGCGATGTGGCCTTGGGGTCAGCACTGCAGCTCCCTCTGGATGTGACCAGAGAGTGCCCCTCACAGGCCGTGACATCAGCACCAACTCACGACTCCCGGTGGACCGACCCTCTGGCAGGTTTGTCAGAGGCTGTAAGCTGCATGGGAGGAGACTGCCCATCTTTCTCCCAGGGAACTGCTGGTGGATTCGAACCACCTGCCTTTAGGTTGACAGTGTTAACCCATCACTAGGCTACCTCAGGCTCCCCAACAAACCAGAACTTGTAAAATGAGACACACGTACCGGAGCTCATTTTCACACAAACAAATCAGAACTCAGACACGTCAGAGAATGGCAGGCTTCACCTGCAGCCTCCATAGCTCCGGGGCTCCCCCCCGCCCCGGCAGAACCCTGACACAGGCTGAACCCGCGGGCGCAGTGGAGGCACCAGGCAACTCCAGGGCATCAAGACTCACTCCACTAGACCTCCCTGACTTCTCTGCACTTCTGAATTATCTCAAAATTTGTGAAATATGAATCGTCAGACAAGCTGCTTGGAGAAAGGGCAGCTCTCTGGTTGGTGTGCAGAGCCCCTCGGGATGGGATCTGGGACGGGCGGGGTCAAGGTCTGGTGGCAAGCGCCTGCCTGCCTGCCTGCGGGGGCACCTGGAAACAGCCTCTCCTGGAGCCCCAACTCTGAGGACAATCTCGCCTTGACAAGCTGCTTGGTCACAGAGGACCAGGAACAAGGCCCCACCCCGACACCTCCAGTCAGTGGTGGAAGGACACATGCATGCCCCAATCCTACACCTCTCTGGGGAGAAGGGGGCCATGAGGTCAGCTCAGAGCCGTAGCACCAGGATGGGTTCCTGCCCACAGAGACCTCCGGAAGCATCTGCTGACCCAGGCTGAGACCACTGCCCGGGTGGATGGGGGGCTGGGACTCGGGGCTCTGCCAACACTACGCTCTTCTAGAAGAGGCACCTCCACACACAGAACCACACCCAGGCTCCAGACCCACCACCCCTACCTGAGCTGAGCGCCTGCTGTTTACTCCACCCCAGGGTCTAGGAGAGGCACCAGTGCTGTGATGTATGGTGCAGAGCGTCCCCACTCGACGTAAGAGCCTCAGTTCCAGAGGCCACTTAAATGTGAGTTAGCTCCCAGGAAATGAAAAGGGAAATGCAGCTGCCCAGGGAAACAGGCTCCACACCTTCAAGAGCGGGACCGCCACGTGTGGTGGCCACCGTGCCGGAGGTTCACTCTGGAAAGATCTACGAGGCGGCCCTGGAGCCGCGGAGGGGCCCTGTCCAGCAGCGCGTGGAGCCAGCCCCATCGGCCCCGCCACCCTCAGCTCTGTTACCAGCCACAGTCAGCCTGGCCCTGCCAACTCACAAAAACCCGGGGCTCAGCCACCAGCCGGGGCTGCTGAATGCCATGTCAGCCTCACTCCACGTCAATTCCCCGTGTCTTCAGTAGACAGTAACGCGGACACAGAGAGCTCGGGAAACTCCTTTCCCAGAACAGAACTCGGGATTCCCCCCGCCATGCTGCATCTGTGAGGGGGGTGAGGGCAGGGGGGAATCTTCTCCTCACCTGCTATGCCCAAATCCGTGGGGGAGGGGTCACTGAGGGCAGGTGGGTTCCCGCCCCCGACTGGCACACCAGGTCTATGAGGGAAGCTGAGGGCAGATATGCAGGGAGGGCAGCCAAGTTCCCCCACCTGCCATGTCCAGGCCAAAGTGGGGAGCTCAGAGAGGGCAGGCCCCTCACCTAGGATCTGGGCTCTGTGAAGGGGTGAAGGGCAGGCAAGTACCCCCGCTGCTGTACCCAGACCCGAGTGAGGAGCTCAAGGCAGGTGGGCTCCTGTGATCCCCACTATCTTTGTCCATTCCTGAAATGTTCATCCTAACCCATCTTCACAGTGGCCAACCAGCAACTTCAACTCTGAGCCTGGCGCTGCTACCAGTTCCAAGCCTCTGCAGGACTTCACCTCAGGGCACCCGTCATACCCGCGTCCCCCCAGTCCACACACCAGGGTCGGGGTCCTCCAGCTTCTCCTTCAGGCGTGGGAAGGCAGGCCGCAGCGACTCGGGGTACTTGAGGAAGACCTTGTACATGATCAGCACAGCCTTCTTCCGGATGTAGGGCTTGGTGTGCGACATCTGTGGGGCAAAAGAGGCTCAGTGTGTGACCAGCCCTGCTGCCATGCCAAGTCCCATCCCACCCGTGGGCGGGGCCCTTCTCCCACTCCCCCTGTGCCGGGAGCCCGGCTCCAGCCACTGTCCATCAGCCACAGTCACTAACCAGGGCCTGCGGCAGCCTGAAGTCATGTGTGCCGTGAATGAGGGCCTCAACCCATCCTGTCTATTCCTGGAACCCCAATCACAGCCCACCAGGAGTGGGGGTGCCTGTGTGGAGGATCTTGGTGGAAAATGCGGCCACCTGTCAGTACAAGCCCCTGGCCTCTAGGCCGTGCAGGTGACCACACATGGGCCCGGCCTGTGTGTCCCTGCCCTGCACCTGATGGTGACTCCAGGGCTTCCCACAGGGCACACCACCCAGCTGGGCAGTCCTCTCCTGTTAGGGCCTGCGGGTGTCAGCTGGGTGAGGGGGCTCACTCTCTCCTAAGAACTGAACCCATAGCTCCCCACCCATCTGAAATCCACATTCACTGCGGGGACCCTGCCAACTGCGCCTAGGCCTCTCAGCTCTCCAGTCCACACCCCTGAAGGGCGCAGCACGGAGCCTGGCCACTACTGCAGGAAACCACCACAAACACACAGGCAATGCCATATCCCAGTAGACTTCACTTACAACAGCTGATACCTGTCCACTCTGACAAAGCCTAGAGACCAAAGTCAGCTGCCCTAAATCAGGAATCTAAGTGAGGTCTGCCAGCGCCTGGCCTTAGTCAATGAAACTCTTCTGGGTGATGGAGCCCTGAGGCCACCCAGCATCCAGGCTGCAGGCCGTGGTCACCAGGCTCAACAGGAGACTGTGTCCCTCTTCACTCTCTCACTTGAGAGGCACAGTCCCCCTCTGAACCTTGGCCCCTTGGAGGAAGTGCTGCTTCTCCAGTGAAATGGAAGCGGTCCTCTCAGCCAGCAGGCATGAAGCCGGACACTCAGCAGAGGTCTGTGGAGGCCCGACTCCCAGGGTTCTAGATTCCCAACAGCAGAGGGTCCTGTGAGAACAGGGCCAGGCCGAGCTTCTGGCTGCCCTACTGGCTTCCCCAGAGAAACCAGGAGGAAACGGGTCACACAGCCAGCTCACCAGCCTCCGTGGTAAAACCCAGGTGGACAGTGAAAAATACAAGGCCTTGGGCTTGGGGAGAGTGGATCAGGACAGCTAAATGGGTCACCGGCCGCCCACCCCCACGCCGTGCGGGGAGCCAACTCCAAAAGTGTGTCCCTGCCTCCTTCCAGCCGTGCAAGAGGGCCTCAGAGACATGAGCGTGAACACCCAAGCCCATGTGCCTGGAGACCCAGCGAGCCCAGTGGGTACCCCAACCTGGGCCTGTTATGTGTCAGGAGCTCAGGCCACATCCACGTGGCAAAGGCCAGGCTCCGGACGTGCTCGGAAACTCACCAGTGTCATGATGTCGTTAGCCAGGTCTCTGGCCAGATCTGGGGTGACAAAACAGGACAAACCAGTCAGCGCAACTCCAGTGTCGTACTGGCTGGGGCTGCTCAGGTCCTGCAAGGCGAGGAGGAGAGGTCAAGGGGCAGCCGGGCTGGGGTGCGTGGACCCCACACCCCACAGCCTCCAGTGTCACACTGGCTGGGGCTGCTCAGGTCCTGTAAGGTGAGAGGCGGGGTCGGGCAGCCGGGCTGGGGTGCGTGGCCCCACTGCCCGCGACCACCCCACAGCCATCACAGTGCAGCTGCGGCCCCCTCGCCAGGGCTCTCAGTGATGAGGAACAACAAGCCCACCCACCAGGACTCAGCACCGAGTCCCAGCTGGGTCTGTGCTCTGTCTCCCAGAGACGACCAAGGACAGGTGTGCTTGGGACAGGTGACCACCACACCTGGAGGGACAGGAAGTTCCACGGAGAATGGGCTTGAGCGCCCAGCTCAGAGGGGGCTGTTCCGCACACAGGCACAAGCCTTGGTCCAGGAACACTGGGCCCAGGGACACAGGCTGCGTGGTGACCCTGCTCACAACAGAGGACACAACTCTCACAGCCCCACGGGACCCCCTCCTGGGACGGCCACCACTCGAGGGCTCTCCCCACGATGCTTGGGGCCCTGTGGTCAATGGTTATGCTCTCAGCTGCCAGGGAAAGGTGAGTAGTTCCAACACACCAAGTGGCTCCAAGGAAGAGCTCGGTGATTCGCTCCTAGGGATGAAGCCTAAGGAGGCCGTGGTGCAGCTCCGTGAGAGCGCCCAGCACCCGCCACCCTCACGGAAAGTGGCCAAGGCCCACGAGCCTTGCCCCAGGAGCTCAGTCCACGGAAGACATCCACTCCTCCACTGCCCGAGGAGACGGACAGCGGCCAGTCCTCACCCCTACAGTCCTACCAAAACCCAACCCCCGGAACCCTTATCCCTGCCCCAAGAGCCACCAGACAGGTGTTCAAGGCCTGCGTACTCCCAGGCCAAACATGGAACATGGTGGGGCCACAGCACAGACAGCTGAGCCACTGACAGGGAACCCCAGGGAGCAGCAGGCACTGCAGGAGCCTCCCAGGACGCCTGGGAACAAAGGTTTGCAGCAGGGAGAGCCCGTCAGGGGCGTTCCCAGTGTGTGGCTCGACAGGAGACAGCAGGGGACAGAGCCTGCCCAGGTGGCCCTGCTCCCTGGGAGAATGACACGCTTCTTAGGCCACCGGCAAGCAGAAGAGGTGCAGGATGGCCGGAGGGCCTGTGGGCTCCGTGGGGCACAGGCTCACCTTTCGGATCTGGTTGGTGGTCAGCATGATGACATCTGTGCCCTCATGGAAGCACTGCGAGGCGGCCAGGTACCCGATCCGCTGCCAGACACACACACAGAGACGTGAGGCCGGCCGAGCAGCTCAGCCTGCCACCCGGGGCACCCCGCCCAGCTCTGGAAGCTTCTGCTGCTCTCACGGCGAAGGGAGGGGCTGGGAACAGGCCCCAGGAGTGGCCAAGAGCCCAGCGGGAAGGAGTCCCCAGCATGCAGCATCTTCCCCTGAATGTCCTGTCTGAGGCTTGGTTTTGCTTTTAAGTCCTAAACCAACAATCATTCTTCTCACTGACTGGCTGGTCACAGGGAGTCACTTCTCACCTCATGCAGGAAGGAGCTTCTCCAGTACCCCGTCCCACCCCCGCCAACTCTCTACATCCCATGACCACACAGCATCGACAAATACCCAGACCATGAGCTCACCTTGAAGGTGAACTTGGAGGCGCTCATCACTTCAATGATGTTGAAGGCGGCCCAGCTGATGTCATAGCCCAGCATCTGTAACTGGGAGGGGACAGGGCACCAAAGCATCAGCTCTCGAAGCAAGTCTGTCCACAACCAACCTCACCTAGCACACATCTGAGGGGATTCAGTCCTGTTCACAGGCGAGAACATAGGGCAGATAGGAACCCACACTGCAGAGAGCAAGCCTGTGCATGGGGGGTGCTGAGGCCTGACAGGTGAGAGCACAGGGAGACGTGAACCCCACTGCAGAGTGCGGGAGTGAACACTGAAGGGTGCTGAGGCCTGACAGACAGGTGAGAACACAGGGGAGGCGTGAACCCCACTGCCGAGAACGGGAGTGAGCCTGTACAGAGGTTCAGCCCCCTGGGACCACACAGACGTGAGGTACTTACATAGGTCAGCTTGCACACGGCGTTGGCTTTGACAGCGATGTTGTCTTGCTTTAGTTCTTGCTTGATCTCATCAATGCACTGCGAGATGTATTTTGCCTGGGAGGGTGAGAATGTTCCCAACTGAGAAGCGAGCCCCATCAGACTGTGAGGTCCCTTGAGTGAAATGCAGGAAGTCAAGCCCACAGACACCCCACGGGAGCCAAGGACAAGGGGCTGGGAAGTGACTGAATTTCCTTTCAGAGTGATGGAACAGCCCAGAACTACTCTCTCAGCTCCACGTGAGATGAAGGCCCAGCAGCATGCTGGGAGTCCAGGGGATCCAAGTTAACAGCATCTGTGAGGTATGACCAGGGACGGACACCTGAATCTCACTGCTGGGGACCCTGCCACTGCTTCTCCCTCGGACAACAGCCCTGTGCTGGGCATGGGGTCCTCACACGCACCATTTGCCCTTGGGATGGGCCAGAGCTGGTCTGCGAGGCCCTCTTCTCCAGGACACCGGAGTGAGGTCACCTCGGTGGCTGAACAGGTACCACTGTGGAAGGATACCTGGGCTCCATCCCCTCTGGTGATGTGAACGGTGTCAGCAGAACACAGGTGGATAGACACCTGGGTTCTGCCCCCTCTGGCTACTGAGAATGGTGTCACGTGGACACACGTGGGTGGACACTCGGGCTCCACCCCCTCTGGTTATGTAAAGGGTATCCCCAGAACATATGTGGACAGCTGGGCTCTGCGCCTTGTGGTTGTATGACTGGAGTCACCAGGACACACATGGGTGGACACGTGGGTTCTGCCTCCTCTGTTACCACGAACAGGGTCACCAGGACACACGTGGACACCGGGGTCTCTTGCGAGTGGGGCTGCTGAGTCCTGTCATGACTGCTTAAATTTCAGGACCCCACGACTGTCCTCTGCAGCGGCTGCAACAGCAGTGAACAGCAGCGCACCGACCCTGCCTCCTCACCACCACAGTCTCTGCCCTTTTCCCTGGGTCATGACAAGCCTGACCCCTGGACTCAGGGTGGGTAGATGCTCAGGACCCCATTGGTGGGACTCAGTCACATGAGTGTGTGGACAGGATACGGTGACAGGGCTCCCAAGTCAGGCTCGCCATCAGAAAACATTCAGGAGAATCGTCCACACCGCACACACAGACGGTGCCCACGGTGAGTGCGGGCAGTGAGGGCTGGGGGCAGGTGGCCACCCTGGACTCTCACGTGCTGACACCTGCAGACACAGGCTGGTCGCTCGACCTCATTGTGGGAGTCAAAACCCTCAGGTCCAAACCTCCTAGTCACTCGCTCACTGCTGTCAGTCTGCTCTGACTCTGAGTGACCCTCCAGCTGGCTTCTGAGATGGTCATCTTTATGCGAGGGGACAACGCCTCTTGCCCACAGAGCGGACAATGGATCTGAAGTGCCAACCTCTCAGGATCAGCCTGATACATTACACTTTATGCCACCGAGGGCAGTTACTAACTGCCCCTGAGTCAATTCCAACTTACAGTGACCTTAGGTGCAGCTCATCAAAGTCTCGGCCAACCCTGAGCCACTCTTACAACGTCTGCTGTGCCTAAGTCCGCTGCTGCTGTCACTGTCTCTAGCCACCTCTACCTTCCCCACATGGGGACAGTATGTCCAAGGTGTGTCCCGTGAAGTTCCAGCATGCGTGCCTCTGAGGAGCACCTGGCTGCAGTTCCTCCAGCACACCCCGGTTTGTCCTCCTCCAACACCACACTGCAAAGGCTGCCATTCTTCTGTCATCTTTATTCTCTGTCCAACCTTCAGGTGCACAGGTGACAATCCCAGGCTTGGACCAGGTGCACCTGAGTCTTTAGAGTGACACCACTGCTCTTTAGCACTTTGGAGAGGTCCATCCGCGGATATTCCATGCCACACATCTTGTGAATTCCTGACTGCTGCGACCACAGGGATTGACTGTGGACCCACGGCAAACAGAACTGCTGACATTCATCTTTTCTCCAGCCACCAGGACATCGTCCAGGGATGACAAATTCTGTTCTCGTGACGCTGACCTGGAGCCTGTATATTAAAGAGCACTGTGACTGCTGTGTGCTGTCAAGCTGAACAAGCAACAGCTGACCCTCAAGCGGGCTTTTAGAGGAAGTAAATCACACGGGAGGAGAGCGCCCACTCTTCCGCGAAGCAACCGGGGGATCCGAACTGTGTACCTTTGGGACAGGAGCTCAGCTTCTTAGGCCGTAACAAGCGTTTCATGTCCTCTTCACTCTCAGGAAGGCTGTGCCATCTGTGTAATGCAGACTGTGGACGAGTCTTCCTCCCCTCCTGATACCAGCTGTCTTTCCTGTAGTCCAGTTTCTTAAATGACGAGCTGCCCCTGACACCCAGCACTGATCTCTCCCTGGGTCACAGCTTTTGAAAGGTGACCAGCAGCACCAGGGAGGTGCTCAGCTCTGAGACTGACTGACCACACAGGGTCACAAGGACAACATGTCCAACGGTAAAAGTCAGAAGGTGGGAAGGAGAGGAGGTAGCATGGTGGAAATCCAGAGCCACTGCGGGCGGCAGAAGAGCAACACTGTAATGTAATGTGAGGACAGTGACCCTGCCATGGAGAACCGCAGTTATGACCGGGCGGGCAGAATCCCCACCCGCCCTGGACGCTGCCACTTAGGTCACAATAAACAAGCAACAGACAAAACAGAAAATGACACTTAAGAGAGCATCGTCTAATAAAAAAGGCAGGTTTCATATCCGAAATGGAGCTGTGCAGTAACACCGAAACCCAGGAGTTGCCGGGATGTTGCTGGGAGGCAGAGTGCTGACTACTGTGGGAGCACTGGCGTATGTCCAGCAGTGCCCCCGATGTCCTGCAAGGGTCGGTCCCCAGACAAGCTGGGGCTCGTGCTGCACCTGTCCCCTGCCTGTGTCCGATTCCGCTCGGCTGGCTCCCTGCACGCTGACCTGCACCCCATGTAGAGAAAGGCTGTTTTTCCACGCTGCGTTCTGTCCAGGGACACCTGCCCAGGGGCCGACCTCCAGGCCAGGTGCACTGCAGCCATGGGCCCCAGGCAGCTGCTTCAAAGGGTGTACAGCAAGTATCCGCTGGAACGACCACCTGGCAGAGCCCTCACAGGCCTGGGGGCCTCAGTGCGGGGTTTCTTCCCAGGGTCTGGGCTCCTGCTCCACATGCTGCCACGTTCTAGACCTGCTTCTCTGTGCTGGTTCAACAGGGAACCAAATCCCGAGCTAAGGCCACTAACCTCAGCCTTCAACGTGGATTGCGTCTCATTATTAGAAGACAAAACTCACCAATGGGCCAGAAAGCAACATCATGACAGATGGAGAAAAGACTACAGCTGGCAACGATTTCCTTTTAGCCGGGTCGACAATCACCACCCTTGGCTACAGCAGTCAGATCAGGAGATGTACCGCATTAGGTAAGGCTGCTGTCAGCCACCTCCCAAATTACTGAAAAGCAATGACATCAGGCGAAGTCTAGGGTGCGTCTCATCAGGCCATGGACTTTTCAATCACTTTCTATGCATCTGAAAGCTGGACAAGGATGGAGAAGGACTGATGCCTCTGAGTTGGGGTGCTGGAAGGGAACACTGAAAGCCCGTGACCGCCAAAAGAACACACAAACAGAAACAAGCATTTTCTCGGAGAAAATGCTACCAGAGTGGTGGCTGGGGGCAAGGATGGTGAAGCTTCATTTCACATTCTTTGAGCACGTTGTTAGGAGAGGTCATTCCCTGGAGAGAGACCTCATTCTTGGAAAAAGAGAGGAAACCCCTCAGGGAGACGGAGTGACTGTCACAGTGACTGCAGCGCCAGGCTCCCGGGTGGCAGAGACGGTGAGGCGGGTGCAGCACAGGACGAGGTTCAGGTCCGCCGTGGACAGTGCTTCTGTGCACCAACACCAGCCGGGGCAGACACAGGTCACTTCAGACACTGTCCATGGCCCGCCTCAGACCGGCTACTCGAAGACAAGCACACTCCCTCACTGTATGAAGCCAGCAGTGGAAAAGCACGTGCTTCCTCGGCTCTCCTGCCCCCGTCCCACACTCCCTCCACGACCACAAGGCCAAGGCCAGTGTCGACACTCTCAGCCATGTGCACACGTTCTTCCGAGAGCCCTGCAGTGGGACAATTCCCAGATGCTGGGTCCTGAAGGCCGAGTCGTAGGTCAACTCAGCTCGGTGGCGGGCCCGACCCACTGATTACAGGCTTGCCAGCCCCCATGACCATGAGTCGATTCTGTAGGGTAAAGATCTCCTGTCACTTTTAGAAGAACTGCAGCCAGCGTGCTCCTCAGAACCAAAACCTGAGACTGCCTCTCGCACCCTTCGTGCGTGCTGTCAGGAGGAGGGAGCCTCTGCAGACGGACAGCAGGCTTGGGAAGGTGGCCGGTCAGCAACGGTGAGGGGCTGGCTTCCAGAGGGGAGCTTCGCTAGGCCAGGGTTATGGCCCCTGAACTGGACTTGACACGCACTGTACCTCCTCTCCCAGAGAACCTTCTGCTTCTTTCAAGAGAATCTAAGACACCATACAAATGATTGAGTTCTTGTGAAGGCTTAAGAAAAACAAGAACTGGATTATTCACGAATCAGTACTTTCTAATGGAGCTGCTGCTCTCCTGAGAGCTCTTCCTTTGACCTTTTGGGGCTTCAGTCTCCCACGCCCTTTACAACCACATGCCGTGAACCTGCAAGGTGATGAGCAAAGGGTCTGAGGAATTCAGATGTCCAATTTCCCACCCACCTGAAAGAGTTTGATATTAAGACTCTGATCCAGGAAGAATGCAAAAGGTCATTACAAAGACAGAGGAGAAAGAAACGACCAAGATGGGTATCAGAAGAAACTCTAAATATTGCACTAGAGCACTGAGAAGCCAAAGAAAGAGGAAGAAATCAAGATAGTAAGGAGCTGAACGGAAGATTCCTGAGGGCAGCATGGAAAGATAAAGTATTGCAATGAAATGTGCAAGAAGCTGGAGTCAGAAAATCAAAAGGGCTGAACTCGCTCAGCATTTCTTAAGCTGAAGGAACTGAAGAAAAAAAAATCAGGCCTTGAGTTGCAATAGTTAAGGATGCTCTGGGAAGAATATTA